GTTTTTGTACCTCCCAATGGCTGGTTGGGTGACTTGACTTTTCGTGCCTCACCCTCCCTGGTTGAGAAGTTGCATCCTCTTACACCTGTGGTTCTCAACCTTTCCAATGCCACGACCCTTTAATACAGTTCCTCATTTGTGGTGACCCCCAGCCATAAAATTATTTTCGTTGCTACTTCATAATTGTAATTTTGTTACTGTTATGAATCGTAATGTAAATATCTGTGTTTTCTGATGGTCTTAGGCTCTACAGCAGCAGTTCTCAACTTGCGGGTTGCGACAGGTTGAGAACCGCTAGCAGGGTCATCTGCAGCCAGAGCTGAGACTCATTTAGTCTTATATCTTATGGAGGCTCATTTTTGTCCTACATTTTATAGGGGAGTATGGGGTGCATTGTGCGAATGTCATTCCCTTCTGTTAGGTTTGAAGGTCTATGGTGGGGAGGCTGATGACTTTCAAGACTGAAACACGGAAAAAGCCCTTTGGACTTTTCAGAGACTTCCAACAGGAGTTTCTAAAACCTACTTGCTACCGTTCACTGGTTCAAAACTATGCCAGGAAATGTCTTCAGAGCTCAGCACAGTGGTCTGAGAGAACCTGAGCATAGAATTGGCTCTCAATAAAGATTTGTGGAGTGTTGGTGGCTACATGAAACACACACATCACTCGCCCCACCCCATGCCCACCTGCAGAGGCAGCTCCAGTTGGCCTGTCCCACACCATGCTCTGGAATGTGCTGATCTTTCTTCCTAGAGAAGAGGACACTGTGAAGAGTGTTACTATTAGCAGGGAAGTTTGGGCTCTGATCTGTCAACTCTCCCTCATCCCAGGTCTTTACGAAGCAATGACAAACTCAAGAACCTGTGGCAGTCAACTCGGCTGTCCACCCTCTCCTTGAAATTTTTTCTTTGACTGCTGGGATCCCATGCTTGCCTGGTTTGGGTCTTCCTCTCCAGCCATCTTCTCGGTTTTCTCTGTTGATCCTTTCTTTTGAGCTTTAAATATTTCATTCCTCAAAGCTCGGTCCTAGATATTGTTCTCTCTTCTCTTTCTTCTTTCTTTGTGCCCCCCCCCCCCTTTTAATTTTCCTAGATAATTTCACTAATTCTCACAGATTTAGCAAAAATTCTTAATATAATGTCTAGTTCACACTTCTCTTTTGAACTCTAAACACACATATTTCACTATCTACCTGACATTTCCACCAGAAGCCTCACAGACTTCTCAAATTCAACAGAGTGAATCTCCCCCCCCGCCCCTCCCCCCCCCCCCCCCCACACACACACATTTGGTCCCTGTATGTTTACTGTGGTCTTCCTCACCTGAGTAAGTTTCTTGCAGCCCACATAATTTCTTAGGTCAGAAACGTGAGAATGATTCTCATCATATTCCTCTTCCCACTCTTCTGAAGTTCAAACAATAGTTAAGTCCTGTCAATTATATCTTTAATATTTCTCAAATCCCCACCTTAGTTTAATCATCCTGTGTCTCTGCATCAGCTTCCAAACTAATTTGCTGTCAACAATTCTTCCATCTCTACACTACCCCTCCTCACCCCCCATTTTCCTGCCCTCTTCATTCCCCAACCCTCTCAAATTCTCTCCTTAGCAGTTCCTCCCTCCTTTCCTCCCTCCCTCCCTTTCTTCCTCCCTTCTTCCCTTCCTTCTTCCTTCCTTTTTGATGATTTTAGTTTATATTTGTGTTTTTCTTATCCAAAAAGATCTTTTCAACTTCTTATTTTGAAATAATTATAGCATCATAGAAAGTTACTAAGTATATTACAGAGAGGTCACATGCACCCTTCAACTAGTTTCCTGCACTGGTAACATCTTACATAATTATAGTTCAATATCAAAACCAGTCAATTGAGCCCGGCTGGTGTGGTTCAGTGTTTGAGCGTGGATCTATGAATCTGGAGGTCATGGTTCAATTCCTGGTCAGGGCACCTCTCTGGATTGTGGGCTCCATCCCTCAGTGCAGAAGGCAGCCAATCAATGATTCTCTCTTATTATTGATGTTTCTCTCTCTCTCTCTCTCTCTCTCTCTCTCTCTCTCTCTCTCTCTCTCTTTCTCTCTCTCTCACTCTCTCTCTCTCTCCTTTCTGAAATCAATAAAAAATATATATATTTAAAAAAATAGTCAATTGACATCAATGCAATTGCAGATCTTATTCATCTTTTATTGGTTTTACATGCACACACATTGTGTATTTATGTGTGTATATGCATAATTCTCTGCAATCTTACCATATAAGTAATCACCACCACAATCAATATTCAGAACTGCTCCATCACCCCAAGGATCTCTCTTGCTAAAGTACGTTCCTTTGAAACACAATGTGATCCAGTCCGTGCCTTGCTTCAAACTCTTTAATGATTTTAAAGCCCCAAATCCTTAAATAAGGGATGCAAATGCCTGTGTAATCTGGCTCCAGCGACCTTGCCAGCCGCCTCCTGCCTTTCTCCGCTTGCTCACCAAGCCTCTGCTCACTAGCCTTTCTTTCGCTCAATTCGCCAAGCGCCGTCACTGCTCAGGCCTCCACACCTGCTGTTCTCCACCCGGAACGCCCCCCCCCCCCCTCCATGCAGCTAACGCCTCGCCTCTCAGAAAAGGTTTCCTTGGCATCTCGGACTAGGTTAGGCTCTCCTCTGGCTTGTTTTCATTGCCAATTATGGTTTTCCTTCATGGCACTTATCACACAGTTGTAAACAAACAGATATGAGCATAGTTCATTAATTTGAGTTCTCTCTAATGAGAGGTGTTCAATTCAGCCCACCACTAAATCTGTTCTGTCTAGTGCAATGGCTGGCTTAACAGGTGCCCAATAGTCATTCATGAACAGGTTCATGAATGATTATTATAACCTGGCTGGTTCTGCTTGGGGTGTGGCCCGAGCACATGGAACTGGGCAGAGCCAACTTGCTTGTATAGTTACCTGCTCTACAAACCCATCTGTAACCTTCCCAAGGGTGCCCTGTCTGAGACCCTGGGCATGTGTGGCCCTTACCATTCAGAATCTCAAACTGGTATTTTCTTTCCTATTCCAATCCTGGTGTTTTCTCTGAGAGACTGGAATAGGAATGACCCTGGCCACTGTTTTTTTAAAAAAAAATAAATTAAAAAATATATATATATATTATTGATTTTTCATAGAGAGGAAGGGAGAGAGATAGAGAGCTAGAAACATCTATGAGAGAGAGTCATCGATCAGCTTCCTCTTGCACACCTCCTGCTGGGGATGTGCCCGCAACCAAGGTACATGCCCTTGACCGGAATCAAACCCTGGACCCCTCAGTCCGCAGGCTGACGCTCTATCCACTGAGCCAAACCGGTTTCGGCCACTGTTCTTAAATGGATGCTCACCCAGGCTTTTAATGCCAGGCTTCTTTCCCTTCAGGGTCACTGCCAAAGTGTCACTTTGAGAGGGTTATTAGTCCAGAGCGTGGGAGTCTCTAAGCTGGATGGCTCCTGAGAAGTCCTTGAAAAGCTTTTAGATGAGCCTTCGCCTCAGTACTTTTACCTGCTCTTTGCTAAGTGGCACCCACGTCCCTCATCAATGAGTTATTTGCACCCCCCAACTCTTACTCCCTCGGAGATGACAGTGTGATTTGTATTTGTGGTGCCCTAATTTTGAAGGGTCCTTACATTGACTGAATAGACAGTGTGTGCCCCAAATGACCCTTATGTCACTAGCTTGGAGGACGTGGGAAGGAGGAAATGGGAGCCTCCTCCTGGGATGGCTTTGCCAAGGGGTGGCAATACCACAGGGGGTCCTGACCACCTGAGGAGGGCACTGGGTTGGTGAAAGTAGCTCTAATCAGCACCCCCACCCTTAGTCTCTAGTGTCCCCCTTTAGAAGTACATAATAACTCATGTGAGAGAGGCAACACAATGCCCTATATGGTGGGTTGGGCAGCGTTGGAGCTCTGGAGAAGGATGAAACCCCAGCAGTAGGCAACGCTGTCAGTTCTTTTGTGATAGAGTCAGTAATGGGCTTTGCCCTGAGTGCTCTGGGCTGACTGACAGTACTGGGAAACCCGAGAGCATCATCCAAGTTTCCTTTCCCTGCCAAACAGAAGGTCAAAGGTCTTCACATGTTGTGGCTCAAATCTGTCCTCTCACTGCCCAAGTGTCTCTTTTGGGTGAGCTGTGGCTGACAACAGAGTCCAGTTCTGCAGGCCAAGCCTCAGAATTGGTCCATTGAGGCTGTGGGCTCTAAGGTGATGGCTTAATGCCTCTCTCTGGTCCTGCGATTGGCTTGGTTAATGTGATATTCTGGATGGAGGAAAGAGTTAGAGCCAGCGACCAGTCCTTTTAGGATAGACCTGGCCATTATGTACCCTTTGCTGTGATGCTGCATTGCTTGGCCCTCCCTGCTAGGTCACGGCCCCCTATGGCCCCTGGTATTGTGCAGGCGTGGACTCCCACTGATCTTCCGGGCATGGGCAGGGATGCTTCGGATAACAGTGCAAAGCCTTGCAGAGCCCTTGAGCTCTGTCCCTAGAATCCTCACCACCCCCTCTCCTGTGCCCTGAGGCAGTGTGAACACCTTTGTGGATCAGAAGGCCCAATTACAAATAGCTTTCGTGTGTCGCTCTTGCCATAGTTGATGCTGGGGCCGGGAGATGGGTGGGTGACTCTCACAGTTGCAGACTTGTGCCGTGTGCTATGCAGTGTCCTTTCTGTTCTCTCTGATCTCCACTTTCTGTCCTCATAACTGGCTACACCTCTAGGAGAATGTGCTCTCAGGGCAAGAGGATTTGGATGGTATTGATCCCTGGTGGAAAGGTTAATGCCTGTCTCTCTCTTTAGGCTTTGATCTGATGATGTAATTGTGGGTAGTGTGGAGAGGGCGCCATCTGGGTTCCTAGTTTGTTTCCCAACACATGCTCCTCTCACCCTCTCTCCAAGTTGGGCATAAATATGTTTTCAGTTAGTGGTGTTGAGGGGTGATAAGTCAGACCCTCTGGCTCTAATGCTGCTGTTTCCGCTTCCTTTAGGTCACCCGACCTGCCTGCAGTTCACCCTGAACATGACTGAGGCTGTCAAGACCTACAAGTGGCAGTGCATAGAGTGCAAATCCTGCATCCTCTGTGGGACCTCGGAGAATGATGTGAGTTGGGGCTTCCACCAGGAGATAGAAGTCCATGGGGCTGGAAGTCCTTCAAGGGGAGAAGAGGAAAGCTGGACTCTTGTAATTGGGCTCCTGGAGGAAGGGTCAGTCAGGACCTTCCCTTTTCCCTTTGACCCCAGAACACTTGAGACCCTTGTAACCACAGGGTCTTGGTTACCTTAGGAATAGAGTATATTAAAAAGGCAGAATAAATACTTAATTCTTTCCCTTTCTTATTTTTAAATATAACAGGGTGGGTTCAATGTCTATTCATGAAGAAAACACTTAAGAAAATAGAAATTGTAGGATACTTTCTAAATATGATAAACTTTTTTTTTTTTTTACCTTAGAATGAAAGCCATTATCTTACTTATGGGTAAACACAAGGCATTTCTACTAAGATCAGGAAAGAGATAAGGATGCCCATTATCTCTACATTTAGAGATATTAGCTAAGGCAGTTAGACAGGAGAGACCAACTAGAAGCATAAGTTGGTAACAAAGTAGTAAAATTCAATTTTTTTCTTTTTAGTTAAATTCTATTTCATAAGCTATAATAGTATATCTGAAAAAATCCAAGAAAATGAATGATAATGCTAATTCAAATATTAAAAGTAGCAAGATATAAAATTACCATGCAAAAATTAATAGCCTTCATAGGCACAAATAATAGCAAATAATTAAGTTAGAGGACAAGTGGTTAGGGATGATCAGGCGGGCAGGCAAGTTGTTAGGGGCGACAAGGCAGGCAGGTTAGGGGTGATGAGGAGGCAGGCAGAGTGGTTAGGGGCGATGAGGCAGACAGGCAGGTGAGCGGTTAGGAGATAGTGGTCCCGGATTGTGAAAAGGATATCCAATTGCCATTTTAGACCCACAGGGATCCCTGCGTGATCAGGCCTAAACTGGCAGTCAGACATCCCCCAAGGGGTCCCGGTTTGTAAGAGAGTGCAGGCTGGGCTGAGGGACTCCCTGCCCTCCATGCACAAGTATCATGCACTGAGCCTCTAGTCTAAATATAAAAAATAAAACATATTATTACTAGAAGAAAACATGGGTAAATTCATTTTTAACCTATATATAAGGAAATACTTTCTGTGACTCAAAATTCAGAAGCAATAAGAGAAAATAATAATAAAAAAAACTTGACTACAATATTTGCATAGTAAAAAATGCAATAAACTAAAAGGACAATGTACAAACTGGGAGAAAATTTGCAGCATTTACTACAGATAAAAGGCTAGTATCACCAATATATAAATAACTCTTAAAAATTGAAGGACTAGGGATAAGAAACCTGATAGAGAATGGTAAAAAGACATATAAATAATTCACAAAAGATATGTAAATGGCCCCCCAAATTTGGAAAATAAAGTTCAAATGTACTTATAAAGAAATTCAAGTTAAAACTAAATGGAGATTCTATTTCTTTCCTATAAAATTGAAAAAGCACCTTCATACATTGTCAGTGGGAATACAAAATGGTACAACCCTTCTGAAGGGAAATTTAACAATACCTAACACAGCTACTTGCACTTACATATTGCTTTAGCAGTTCCACCTATAGGAATCTACCCTAACAATAATCACTATATATCCTAAAGATACAGCACTATGCAAATACATGTGCATAAAATTATTCATGTTTGATTGTTTATACTTGAAAATATTGCTCATTTGTAGAACGGTTGAATAATGATGATATAGCCACATAATAGAGTCTATGCAGCTGTTAAAAAAATGAGGCAGATCTTTATGAATTTATATGGAGTGATTTCCAGAATATATTTTAAATGAAAAAAAAAGAATAAATTAAAAATGTTTAGTATGCTACCATTCTTGTAAGAAAGGCATGAGAAAATATACATATATCTGTTCACTGTGTAAAAGAAATACAGGATGGATAAACAAGGAGTTAAAGAGATTGGTTATCTATAGGAGTGAGTGGGAATTGGGTAGAAAGAATGGGAAAATGAGGATAGGATAGTATGGATAAGGAGGATAATACTTCTGTGAGAATGCCTTTTTGTATAACTCTGAGTCTTAGAACCAGGGTATTGTTTCACATACCTACAATAGATAAATACTGAAAAACAACCAGAATGTGGGGGAACCGAAAGTAGAATATGAGCAGTAACAAATTAATCTAACTGTAGTATAAATAGACTAGGGGCTCAGTGCACAAATTCATGCAGGAGTGGGGGAGGGGAACTGCAGGAGGTTGGCTAGCCATGGGAGGTTGGCTGTGGGAGTGCACTGACATCAGGGGGCAGCTCCTGCATTGAGCATCTGCCCCTGATGGTCAGTATGCTGGGAGAAAATTTGCAGCATTTACTACAGATAAAAGGCTAGTATCGCTAATATATAAATAACTCTTATGCGTCATAGCCCCCAGTGTGCATGTCATAGTTGTCGTTCTGGTCATTCAGTTGTAATGGTTGCTTAGGCATATATATATATCCTATATAATAAAGATGTAATATGCAAATGGTCATTATACTGTGAAGCATATGACTGACCATGTAACCGGATCATGGATCAGCAGAAGGGTGGGGCAACGAGCTACAAGCGGGTGGCAGAGAGCTACAGGAGTAGGCAGGGCAGCAAGATATGAGGGGAATGCGGGGGGGGGGTAAAAGGGGGGCCGAGGGAGCTACTGGAGGGTGGCAGCGAGCTACTGGTGAGCTACTGGCACATGGATTCGTGCTCAGGGCTACTAATATATCTATATATCTATATATCTATATATCTATATATCTATATATCTATATATCTATATATCTATATATCTATATATCTATATATCTATATATCTATATATCTATATATCTATATATCTATATATCTATATATCTATATATCTATATAATTGTATAGATATATAGATGTATAGATATATCTATATAATTGTATAGATATATAGATGTATAGATATATATATATATTGATATATATATAAAAACATAACTATACTGAAGCATGGGGTAGGGAAGAACTAATTTAAGTAACTTTGGAAAGTAGTATTTCTGTATCTTAGAGCTAAAGAGAGAAATATTATAGTTATACAAATTTTTTACTGTACTGGGTATATTTGTTTATTACAGGCATGCAAGTTAGTCATTCTGAAACTACATGTACACAGGTCTGAACTAATAACTATATATAGTGAACAACGAGAGTCAAGTTTCTCAATGTCCTAGAAAAAATATTCAGATCTTTTAAAAAAATATTTACATGGTTTTAGGTTGGAATAGGAGGTATTAGTGGGAATTTATGATTTTTTTTTTTTTTTTTTTTTTTTTTTTTTTTTAAATCAATCTTTATTGTTCATATTATTACAAAGGTTCCTCATTTCTTCCCCCCTCCACCAGGTTCCCACCCCACCCTCCGTCCCCCCAACATCCCCCATTGTCCTCATCCATAGGTGCAGTTTATGTTCAGTCTCTTCTTCCCTCAATTTCCCCAATAGTAAATCCCTTTTCAGATAGTAAATCAGTTACTTAGTATTTTCTCATATCAGTAATACCTCCACATGCCCAATGATACACTTCACACAAAAGACATTTCCCACTAGGTCAACCAGCCTCATCCAGGCCCCACCCAAGGCACTCACAGATCAACACCCCAGTCCTAAACTAACTCAACACATCCAGATCTAAGCCTTCATCACTTGATTCAGCAGACCCTCAAGTTCCCACGAAAGTTTCCAGCCATGTCTGAGAAGCAGCCGTGGGGCAGGGGCAGGCAGGGAGCGAGCTGTTCTGGGCCTGGCCGCTCAGGGCCTGGCCTCTGTTGCTCTGGTTCATTCCACAACCAGCTGCTCCGGGTCTGGTCACTGCCGCTCCCGACCTAGTTGCTCTGGACTTGGCTGCTGCTGCTCCAAGCCTGGCCGCTCCCAGCCTGGCAGCCGCTACTCCGGGCCTGGCCACACCAGTCCCGCCTGCTCCCCCGGGCCTGGCCGCTCCCAGCCTGGCCGCACCCGACCCGGCTGCTCCCCCGGGCCTGGCCGCTCCCAGCCTGGCAGCCGCTGCTCCGGGCCTGGCCGCACCCGACCCGGCTGCTCCCCCGGGCCTGGCCGCTCCCAGCCTGGCAGCCGCTGCTCCGGGCCTGGCCGCACCCGACCCGGCTGCTCCCCCGGGCCTGGCCGCTCCCAGCCTGGCAGCCGCTGCTCCGGGCCTGGCCGCACCCGACCCGCCTGATCCCCCGGGCCTGGCCGCTCCCAGCCTGGCAGCCGCTGCTCCGGGCCTGGCCGCACCAGCCCCGCCTGCTCCCCCGGGCCTGGCCGCTCCCAGCCTGGCAGCCGCTGCTCCGGGCCTGGCCGCACCAGCCCCGCCTGCTCCCCCGGGCCTGGCCGCTCCCAGCCTGGCAGCCGCTGCTCCGGGCCTGGCCGCACCCGACCCGCCTGATCCCCCGGGCCTGGCCGCTCCCAGCCTGGCAGCCGCTGCTCCGGGCCTGGCCGCACCAGCCCCGCCTGCTCCCCCGGGCCTGGCCGCTCCCAGCCTGGCAGCCGCTGCTCCGGGCCTGGCCGCACCAGCCCCGCCTGCTCCCCCGGGCCTGGCCGCTCCCAGCCTGGCAGCCGCTGCTCCGGGCCTGGCCGCACCAGCCCCGCCTGCTCCCCCGGGCCTGGCCGCTCCCAGCCTGGCAGCCGCTGCTCCGGGCCTGGCCGCACCAGTCCCGCCTGCTCCCCCGGGCCTGGCCGCTCCCAGCCTGGCAGCCGCTGCTCCGGGCCTGGCCGCACCCGACCCGGCTGCTCCCCCGGGCCTGGCCGCTCCCAGCCTGGCAGCCGCTGCTCCGGGCCTGGCCGCACCCGACCCGGCTGCTCCCCCGGGCCTGGCCGCTCCCAGCCTGGCAGCCGCTGCTCCGGGCCTGGCCGCACCAGCCCCGCCTGCTCCCCCGGGCCTGGCCGCTCCCAGCCTGGCAGCCGCTGCTCCGGGCCTGGCCGCACCCGACCCGGCTGCTCCCCCGGGCCTGGCCGCTCCCAGCCTGGCAGCCGCTGCTCCGGGC